CGCAGATAGCCCTCGTGTAGCTTTGCGCGAAATTCCAAAAAACAAACAAACAAACTTACGCTTTTAAACAGATATTTGTAAAAAGCCAACTTCAAGGGGTAATAATAACACTGTTTACAATGGAATTATGATGGTTTTTTTAGCTTATGTAAAATACAGAATAAACAAATCGACTTTCAATATCTTTACGACCTTCGGACTACTATATTTAGTATTCTACAAAATATTGGGTGCAATATTCCAAGCCTTTTTTGTTGTAGGTTGGCGTGTAAAGGCTTAGCAGTCAATAATAGAGGTTTAAACTGTTTTTAAGCAGAATCTTTACTGATTAAGGTGCTTTTTGCCCGAACATTCTATTAGGTTTTTGTGCATTTTTCTTGCGATCCCTATTATGAACCACTATTGTGGTTCATGATAAGTTGACCAAGGTGTATATTCCTTCTTATGTTTTACACATACATGATACAATGACTTCATCTTATTACAGGACTAATGTCAAAGGGAGATACTTGTGGCTAACAAATAAGCATACATAATTAGAAACAACAGTGGGCAAGAGAATTTGTCATTGTAGTTTGTCAGTGTATATATATATATATATAACTCTGTAAGAAATCTGTATACATAGTTCTTCCACATTATTACTGGATTAATACTGACTGTTTACCTGGAAGATGTCTAGCAAGATTTTTCCAGTCTCTTCCGATCATCTTGCTTATAAGTCTTATATCCTTTTGTTGTATCTCTCTGTCTCCAGTCACTAATAAAATATTAATATAATTCTTAAATACTGCTAACGTAAATGGAAACATTTAAAAAAACAATAATGACTATAAAAATACAAAAGAAAACTAAAACCTAGCTGTAATACTGATCTTTGTTAAAAATAAATCAACCGTAAATAAACTCTGGCTGAAGTTCTCACCTTTAATATATTTTCGCATATGATCAGTTAAAATCATTATCTGTTGCCTTCTGTTTCACACAGGTATACAGATATTTTCTTTTTTGTATCAACTTCCTCAGTCGTATACACTTGCTTGAGATTAGGATTAGAATGACTTGTAATAATACGTTTGTTACATTAAATACTAAGTTTGTTTATATGTTAACATGCAGTTGCAATTAACACTATAATATCTACTAACTGCAACTATAATTTCCTTTGTTTGTTGTAAAGCACGAAGCTACCCAATAGGCTGTCTTTTCTCTGCCCATTGCAGGTATCGAAAATCGATTTTAGAGTTATAATACCGGAAACGTACCCTTGCACGACAGGAGGGGCAACATTCCTATGGAGATAAACGATTCTTATTGCACTTATTACTAAAATGAACTATAGAAATATCTTCAGTAGAAATCGATTGTTATTGCATTTTTTACAAAGTCAACTCTAATTCTTCCTCGGCTATAAGTCTGTTGTTAGAACCGATTTTGTACTAAACGTATGAATAAGGTTCCTTTAGCTACATCGCTTTAAAGATACTGTGACCTAAACCACGTTTAAGGTACTGTAGATTTTACTTTGATCCGTACTGATTTTCTCGGTATAATTAGTTTGAAAGGTAACTGGTATAAAATTTTGTGTCCTAGTTTTTATTACTGTCATGTCTTGTTTCACCGCTGAAGGACATGAATGAGAGCTTATGATGCTAGATGTCGGGGTTCGCACCATCCGGCAGCTACAGCTACATAGAGACAATGTGAATCTTTACGATTAAGCAAATCATCTTATTTTACCGTTTTCTCTTTAATTATTTTCCCTTTTTATACAGAAGTTACATAATATTCACTTAGCCTTTTGTATGTTTGGCTCCTTGAACATTTCCACTACTTACTAATAGATGTTAAGTGTAAGAAGCTAAAGTTGTGAAAACAGAAAGGACATAGGGGTGAGCAACTGAGGAAGTAAAACTGACATCTTGTGAAAAGGTTCAAAATACTAAGCAAGCTTTAGTGTTCGGCAATTATAACTTCCCTGTTCATACATGTACACATTTCACTTGCCAAATTAAACCTGACATTTACCAAGTACTTGATGTATCTCACTCAACTCATGCTCTAATGGAACTCAATGAATACAAAGATAGAGACTCTCTGAATGCTTAACCTTGGTATAATAAATTTACTCTCTAGGGTAACTCAGTAAACATAAAAGTAAAAACTCACTGAACACCTAATGTGGCTTACTCAGCTTAATTTTCACCGTGTTGTTCTTTTTCTATTTACTTAGTTCCCTGCAGTGTCAGGAAGCTGACTAAACCACGTCCAGTGTTCAGTGAGTTTTTGTAGTTTTTTCACTTAGTTCCCTTGTACAGGAAGCTGACTAAACCACGTCCAGTGTTCAGTGAGTTTTTGTAGCTTTTTTCATTGATTAAGCTGAGTAAGCCGCATTAGGTTTTCAGCGAATTTTTAGTTTCCATTGTGGAATAAGTCACGTCGTACAAGGGAACTAAGTGAAAAAAAACTACAAAAACTCACTGAACACTGGACGTGACTTAGTCAGCTTCCTATACAAGGGAACTAAGTGAAAAAAAACTACAAAAACTCACTGAACACTGGACGTGGCTTAGTCAGCTTCCTGTACAAGGGAACTAAGTGAATATAAAACAATTGAATACCGGATGTGACTTAATCAGCTTATAAAACTCAATGACTGGAAAAACAAAAACTCGTCAGATAGTTATATTAGTATGTTTAACGTATTTACAAATACCAAATATGACCATTTTTAGATTATTAAGAAGCGCTCAAAATTAGTACTCAAAACTGTAGCAATGACTGGTCATGTACAGTATACTGTGCTTCAAACAATAAAACAATAATTGAATTTAATAATATAGCACCTATGAAGCGAGTTGCATTTTGTACATTCGGTTTGGCGACAATCAGAGCTGTGTCTACAAATTTAAATGCTCATACGTATCAAAAGGGTTTAGATGTCAGAGTTCTAAGACTGGAACGTATGTTTGTCTTTAAAATATCAACATTTTGGATTAACCTGAGTGGAACCAGGATCTTAACCCTAGTAGAGCAGTGTTCATCCATTAACAATAGAAATGACCATAATTTTTGTTGCTTTTGATAATTTTAAGGTGTGATAATTTCGGATAATAATTAACACAACGACAAATATATTTTCATATTTTATTTATGTTTTTAGTTATTTTATATTAGATTAAGAGGTTTAATGGTCTTACAGGAGTTGTTGAGTTACCAGTTCCTTGTTATTTGTAGTTTATTGACTATACTGCGGTGTAGTTAAGTCATGTAAATAATCAAAGTAGGATATATTAAATACGTGAGAGTTATATTATATATAATTATTTTTTATTGTTATATTGAAAAATAATCGCTATTATGCTATTAAACGGGTTGTATGAAAAGTGTATTAAAATGTAAAGCGCTGTTTCTTACTTATTACGTATATAAATTAACAAACTCTTGAATCATAGACTAATTTATTGTTTACATCAGAACGTTTGGAAGTTAGCTCTGTTGTTTTATCTATCTAAGTTGTCTGTTACTTAGAATCGGTATTAAACTATTAGAAACAAAATTCTTACTTAGTGGCAATTAAGACTCGTATTTTAAGTTTTTCTGTGTTACCTTTTAAATTTTTGCATTTCAGAAAACCTAGCATGTAACATTTTTAAGTTGCAAAATATAATTTATCGTTTGCTCTCGTAGGATCCAGTTATCTACTACGTTTTGCTTACTTAAATATTTGATTGTATGTCTCATGTTACATAAGGTTGATAATCTGCAAGCGTCACAATTCATTTTACAATTTCAACTCCCCAGAAATCAGAGTATATATAGTCTCTTGAAGATTGTATGTTATAAATTCATATTAAACACATTCTCTAGTTGGCTTACTCGCTGAACTATTTACTATTCAGTTACCTTCCTTCCAGAAATATTGACTTTTCAGTTGTCTTTGTCCCTAAAATATTCAGTTTCCAGTAGTCTTTTTACCAGAAATATTGACTTTTCAGTTGTCTTTGTCCCTAAAATATTCAGTTTCCAGTAGTCTTTTTACCAGAAATATTGACTTTTCAGTTGTCTTTGTCCCTAAAATATTCAGTTTCCAGTAGTCTTTTTACCAGAAATATTGATTTTCAGTTGTGTTACTTCCTGAATTTTTTGTTTAGTTATTGCACTTCTGACTACTGAATATTTAGACGCTTTACTCTCTATAATATTGACCCTTTAGCTGTCTTACAATTTATCAGTAGTTTATCCTCTGACACCTAATTTAGTTTCTCTCTCTCTTTGATACAATGGATTTATAGTTTTATTCCCTGGGTTATTGATTTTTGGAGACGAAATTCCGCACGTCGCATTATATCTACATTCGGATCCTGTAGGTAGGAAACAGTATATGTATCATGATTCGTAGTGCTTGATTATTTTGAGACACACGTCTGTGGATTCAGTTTTATAAATTTCTCAGTTTCTTTTATTCAGGTACTCTATAAGTTATACTTTCTAGGATACGACATTCTACTCCCTGGGATTCTGATCCTTTACTTGTCATATTATTTCTGAATTATATTCTCCATTGTTAATATCTTTCATAAATATCTTCTATAATGTCTACGATTCAGTTTTTCTAGGTATCAAACTCTCTAAGATCCGAATGTTCAAGGCGTTTTGTTGTGAGTGTGTGTCATCTTTACGGTTTTCACATTTTTATATATATCCTGAGATACTCCGATATTGTAACATTTAGATTTCTTATTGACTTACCGTTTGTCTCATTATTATGCATTCTATTTGAATCGAACTTTGGTAGTGACGACACTACGTTTACGCTCTGAAATAAATAACAACAAGAAAAAAAATATTCAAAGACGAAGAGAAATATTTACAAAACTAGAAAAAAGAGAGTTAGTTAGTATAAATACGTAAGTAGAAAACTCCATAACGTTACAATGTTCTCTTGATGAATGAATTTGTACAAGCGTTTAATAATAGAATGTGTAAACGTTTAACATTAGCAAACATCCAATGAATCAGGATTTATTGCCTTAAATACAAAATCTTCATAAATATTAAAAGTTATATTTAGACCATAGAGTAATAAATTGAAAAGTTTTTTTAAGTTGGAATTCATAAAGGTCACAATTTAATAACTGAAGTTATAACTAAAAAACTTGGTTGAGAAGCGTATAGAAGTTAAATAAACTCGGTCAAATTGGTTCACAAGTTACATAAATTTGGATAAAACTGTCGAAATCGTGGACCTGTTCAATCACGAATATCGTGGTTCTTTGTGTGGACGTACTAATTTAGTTTATGTGTTTTAATAAATTTGCATTCATGATAAAGGTTAGCTGCTGCTAATGGAAACTTACATGTATAATGATAAGAAGAATGAAAGAACAAATAGTTATATTTTTCACTTAACTTACCCTAGAGTTCTGGAGATTATGAGCAGAAACAGGTCCTACTGTTATACCGTGTGAGTCCTTGATTGTGATTCCTGAATAATAAGTCAGGTCAACATTGTCCATTTTATATTTCTGGAGTTCAATTGGCTATTCCCTTTTGAGTGATAGAAATAGATAAGTGCAAGTCCATGTACAGTTTATACTAACAGTATAAAGTTAATCCACATTCACACAACTACTTACGTTATCAATACCCTAGAAAACTACGAACATCAATTTGCGTTACGCGTTAGAAAAGCGAAATCAAACAGCGCTACGATAACAGGTGTTTCGGAATAAATTCTTATTATTTTTTACATCTGAAGTTTTCAGCTACCAATAAACTTTTCTGCGAGCAGTGATACCGATGCTTCGTTCGGTTCCACAATGTATTGTTACGACAGCGGAAGTCACGTGACGCTAGTAACACGTCATGCGCTTCTAGAAAATTCATCTCCCTTCTTGAAGCCTCTAGAGGTTACTAAATGTACGGTATTCTTGCATATAAGACCGCCAAGAACTGACGGCAAGAATGTAGTTGAATTGCAGACAGAGATAGAGACGGACAGTTGGGTCGAGCGCATGAGTCATTTGTTGTGAATTATAGCGTTTGTTTAACTTATAGCGCGACCGTGGAAATTAAGTGAATTTCAAAGTTTTATTGAGAAAAAATAAACTAGTTTTATTTAGGAAAGGATCTGTGTCGCTAAAGTTTCATCGGAAAGAAATTATACGGGAAATTAACTAATGACCAGAGACGTAACAGTATTTTCGATCAACTTAATTACATGATTTTAAACAAAATTGTTACCAATTAACGGCTATTTTAGAAATATCATTCTTTACAATCCTACTTATTATCGTAGTAGCGATAACTAAGCCTAACTCACTGTAATATTTACTCAAGTCTTAAATTACGATAGTCTCGGTGATAACAATACTACGTTAGTTAGGCCTAAAACGAAAAAAAAAGTGCATTATATACATTTACAAAAACATACTCATGCATAATAAAATGATGATGTTTCTGCACTAAGAGATTTGAAAAAATTATATGCAGAGAAAATAAGTAAGTTGACATGGTTACCTGTGAGTATCAAACTTAGGCTGATTCTCGATTCGAGGTGACGTTCTATGAGAGATTGTGCTTGATAACAACCTATAAGTACAAAGTATCAAAAGTACAGGCAAAGATAAGGTTCTGAGTTATTGGATTTTTTAAACCGAAACTCAGTGACTTTAACTTTTACAGTCTTTAAATCTTCACTTCATCTATTGCTGTACAGTAGAAACGTTAAACCTTTTGTGACTATATACAGCCTCTAAGAAGTCCACTATCTTCTGATTTTTGCTTTTTATTAAACACTTAATTTTCAGTTAACTTATCTGTGTAGACGAAAAATTTCACATATTTTTATTTTCTGAAAAAAAGACACACCCTCCACTCATTTTCTAGCGCTAGTTACGCCCCTGTTGCTGTGCGGTACCAACTACAAATAGGCTGTGTCTTCTCACTATCTCCACTTCATCTATTTTTGTACAGTAGCAACGTCAAACCGGCCGAGACTACTTACAATGTTCATTTTAAAGTCTTATTTATTTGAAATACTTAGAAAAAATTGAGGTTTTTAATATTAATTCCAGATTAATGAAGTCAGATAAATTTATCACCTTTGAACAAATGACATTACGTTTCAACACTGGACGTCGCTTTAACGTAAGCTTTCTTCTTCTGTGTTTCCTTTACTACATTCAGAACTAAGTGATTATGCTTCGATTTTGTTTTAGTTCTGTAATCTTATGTAAAGTTATGCACAGAAGTGTATCTTTAGAACAGTTTCGGTATATTTTGACACGGTCGGGATGATGTGAAGTATAGTGAAGAAAGATTGGTTTATTGGATGATTTTGTATTTTCGGAAAAAAAAGAGTGAATAATAATATGTCAGCTACACTACATTTATCATATCCAGAACCGATGCCGTCCCTCACCCAACATTAGAAACGTTGGGTTGAAACGCTACTTATATTTATACTAGCGTAAAACCAAAATTATTCCGTATGAAACTGGCAATACACAAAGAAATATAAAATTTCCTTTCCCGGGAACATGCTACATATTTTCCCTGAATCCATAACATATAACTGAGCAAACATGCTACATATTGGTGCCTTTTGATAAAAGATACGATGACCATGTAATTGCTTACACACTTTTTCTTCTTCCGATGAAAAGTCGTCCTCTTCCTTACAGATAATTGGTATCTTCAATCCGTTTTAACAAAGGCTTTTTCGTAATAATTCCCAAGCATAGATTTGCGCTAATTTTTGACTTTACTTTTCACAGGAATTTTCTTGGCTTTCCTATTCGGATCCTGCCTAACTTGACGTCATAATGATGTGGATGATGTGGTGTCACACACATAACGCCATGCCTGATCTGGTCCTGGGAACTTCATCCTTAACAGCTGTTATATAGCAGAAAAATTGACGAAATGTAGGTGCTATTTACGCCTATTTTAGCGATTAAATTCAAGTAAAATGGGAACGGGTGAGTAAAAGAGGAAATATTATAGGAGAAAAAGTGGAATTGGACTCACGAAATTAGGAGAAATCGAGCGTGACCGACCGACACTCGGCTTTTATATATATTGATGATTGGGAAACCGCTTGACAACAATTAATACGGCGTGAACAACATTAAGTTGGTGAAATGCAATTTTAAACCAATTTTATTTATACAAATCAGTTCAGAATTAGGATAGAGATCTGTTAACATTTTATAATTTTTTATTTTAGCACCTTGTATTGTTAATTACCATTTTCGATGACGAGGAACTCACTTTGAGACTAATAATGCTTGAAGACTTTAATATAAGTTTAACATAACAGCAAGTGTACAACGTTTCGACAAGATTTTGTCATCATCAGGTACCTTTATATTAAAGTTTTTCTTCATTACCCATTCAAGCCGTCTCCAAGCATTATTAACTACCATTTTATTATTATCTATTATTCAGAAGAACTAGAACGAGTAGTAAGCTAATCATTTCGAATGGTGAACACTACGTTAACATTTATATTAACAGAAAGAAAAGAATAGTGTATAATAATATGTCAACCACACTTTAGGTGAAATATACAGTACCGACGAGGTCTTTGTACAATACCAAGGCTCTTCCGCTCGGCTGTTAGTTATTCGTTTCCTAAGAGGCATTGCATGTGAGTGGTGTATACGAACTGAAAGTAAATATGAATATATATAATTTATATGGTTTATATATATGGTTATAATTTCTTGTTAACGATCGTTTTAGAATGTGTAAGATTTCTTGTCTGTTAATATTTCCTAGTTTACTGTACAGTTACACATTTTTAAATGTTCTCGTGTTCGGCCTCAGTTTATTTGGATACGTATGATGTGGAATAAAGGATGTACTACGAAATTACTTCTGTTTGACTTTTTCCAATACAACGTGTCCTATTTGACTCTGAACGACTTTCGTAAATAATCATACATTTTCTTGATACTCAAACCTTTCTTATTTCATTGCATCGTCGTATCGTCTCATAGCTTTATGTCATTAAACAGGCCTTTATTTTGCGTTGAGATCTGACCTACAGCGTCATAAAACTCGATCATTATTATTATTTATCTTTAAATTTCAATTTTACAACATTCACATTCAGTCAAGCAATTAACAAAATTATCCACAAATGTAACAAATAAGAACAAAAATATTCTAATGTTTTTCTTATCCCAGTGCAAAGCTACATAATTGGGAATCGGCGATTTGTCCGCCGGGAAGAATCGAGCCTCGGATTTTAGCGTTGTAAGTCTCTAATTTTACCAATGACCCACCGGAATACAGTTGTTTACGTGAGGGAGCAGGAGTTCAAGAAACCTATAACGTTTGATTTTATCTGTATGGAAATGATCTAAAATTTAATCAATGTTTCTTACTACTGCGTTTATTAATAAGACAGCCTAATAAAACTAACCAAAACCTCAAATGTTTCACAAACATATATATTTCTCTATTCTAAAATAATATTATGTAAATCACGTTTAAGGTTAGTTTGCTTTCAATGATCTGAAAGTATTTCCTTATTTATTTACTTGTTATGTATATATGATTGTTGAAAAACATAGTTATAAATAGGTTTTCATGAATCGTGTGTTTTTGTTGTGTTATAAACGTGGAAATAAGTTTGTGTATTTGAGTTGATAATATTTATCGCGTTCTTAAGTTCTTTTTAACTCACAATGTATTGTCACGACAGCGGAAGTCACGTGACGCTAGTATCACGTCATGAGATTCTAGAAAGATCATGTCTGTTCGTGGCAACTCTAGTCTTCTCTATGCGCCCTCTATTTTTGTATATATAAGCCGGCAAAAGAAGTGACGGCATGAATAATTGCAGATTGAAGAGATAGAGACAGATAATCCATTCAAGTTGTAAGTAAAGTGCGTGAATCGTTGTGAATTATAGCGTGTGTGTAAGTTAAAGTGATTGTGGAAATTAAGTGTATTGCAAAGTTGTATTGATAAAGAATAAGCTAGTTTTATTTAAGAAAGGACTTGTATCGCTGAAGTTTTTCGGAAAGAATTTCTACGGAAAATTAACCAACGACCAGAGACGTAACAGTATTAAACCAGATTAATTTAGGTGGGTAAATAATATTATGGCATTGCTCCTAATCTATTATTCTGTATTTTACAGTGGAAAAAATGTTTAATGATTACATTACAGATATATTTTTATTTCACAAAAGTTAAAATTGAAAATATAATCTGTGACTTCAGGATTAGTAAGATAATGTAATGGGACGATACAAAACTACTAATAATTAATGAAGCTGGATATTGAATTAAGCCTCATGTCCTAAAAAAAAAAAAAAAA